CCTCTCTGGGGAGCCTGTTTGCATGCTTCACTACCCTCCTTGTGAGAAAGTTTGTCCTCCTATCTGTCACACCTGCTCAGCTCTTCAGTGCTGATCTTGATGCTCGCAGGCAGCTGCAGGGACACAGATGCACACCAAGCACGTGGAGCAAGGGGCCGTGCCTGCCCCCACACGCACACTTTGTTTTTCCACGCCGTGCTGGCCCAATGGCTTTCTTTTGGGATCAAGGGAAACGAAGAAATCCAAAAAGCGCTGCCCACACTGGCTGTCTCCTGAGCATGGAGAGAGCATGGCGTGAGGCTCTCCCATGTAACATGCTGCGTTGGCGCTCTCTCGTGCAGCGGTACCTGCCTCGGCTGGAGAGATTTCGAGGTGCCGTATACGGGGGAGGTTCGCGATGCTGTAGCACACGCATAGGTGCCCTGGCTGGTGATGAGGTCCCGTGCAAAGCTCTCCATGCACAAACACACAGGTTGGTGGGGTGGGGTGGGGGTAGGGACTGGAAACCCAGCCACCCACACGGGCTGGCACCCACTCTTTTGTTCCCCTCGGCTGTAATGCAGGGGAGCAACGTGGGGGGAGAGTCCTGGCACGGGGGAAGAGGAGAGGCAAAGTGTTTGGACTGAGCATGCATGGAGGAGGAAAGGTGGCATTTCTAGGGGAAGCCATCACGGTGGTGATTGGGGTTGGGAGAGACGGTGGGAGATACTCTGGGGGAGTAACCCGAGGCAGAGGGATCGCCGCCGGGGTGGACTAGGGAGCGCATGAAAAGCACGATCTGTTCGGTAGCACTCCCCACCCCGAGGAAGGATGTTTTGCACACCCAGCTCCTCCAGCATCTATCCCAGCTAGAAAGCACATCCAATAATGGCCAAACAACACTTGCTTCCCACGTGACGTGGCGGCACGAGCCTGGGAAAGGCCTGCAAAGCAGCTACAACTTGGGCCAGCCGCCCCGGTCCTTGTCCATGGGGGACGGGGACGTGGCGTTTTTCACCAGCGTGTCCTTTCAGGGCTCGTTCAGCACTACAGCACCGAGCAAAGGGCGCCGGGCCCCGTTCCCTCGGGCGCGCTGGACAGCTGGAGCCGAAGGGAAGGGACCGGAGGCATTCGCCGAGGGAGGTGCGATAATCGATTTAGCGCGAGCGAGGAATACGTGTTTCCTGACTCCTCTGTGCAGTGCCGGACCCTCCCGGGACCGTCCCAAGCTGGTTTCTTCGCTGACAGTAGTTTACTGTTGGTCAGGAGCCCGGGCTGCTGACCGGATGTGGCTGCCGGCCTGGCTCGCGGAGCTCGTTTTGGACAGCTAGTGACCTTTTCAGCCCCAGCAGATGTTGCCGGCGAAACGACTGGCGGCGTGACACCGGGAGGCCGTTTTGCAGGCAGAGGGAGGGGGCAACGAGCCGGCGGGGTTCAGGCCCCCGATAAGGGAGGAAGAAATGGCTCTGCTTGGTGGGGCCGTTTCCCCGCGACCGGGCATCCGTGGCCCTTGCCACGACTTTGCTGCGCCTGTTCCCGCGCCGTGGTGCGGCAGGTCGCACGGTCTGGCCACCTCCGCCCTTGCTGCGCCTGGGTGCAGGAGGGGCTGCGAGGGCTTCCTCCGAAGCCCCAAGCAGGCGGTGTTTGCGCCCGCCGGGCTCAGTTGTGTACTGTCAGAGATGGTCTTCGAGGTCCTTCCTCGGATGGGCCTGTCTTCATTTGTCCCGTCATCCTCTCTCCGGTGCCTTTCTCTTCTTTCTTTTCCCTTTCTCTCTTTCTTCTCTATGCCTTCCTCGCTCCCTTTCTTCCCCTTCCAGGACACGGTTGGTTCCTTCGGCCTCCTCGCTCCTCCCGCATCCAGAAATGCTGTGAAAAAGAAAAGCCCAAAAAGGTTGCACCTGTGACGCTGGCCGGGAACGACATATCGACTTTCAGGGAGGCCTTGACGGAGGGAGCAACGGCCCCGTGGAAAGCCGTCAGACAGCTGCTCCCAGCCGGCCCGGCTCTGTCCCGACGGCGGCCTGGTTGTGTCGCAGCGTGGCACGCCGAGTTGGGTAGGGCGCAGCTGACCCACCGCGTTCCCCCAGCGGCGTCTCTCTGTCCTGCCTCGGGCCTCCTGGGTACCCCTGGGATTATGCTCCTCGCCTCGGTGAGCCAAAAATACTGCGGTGTCCTTGAAAACGGCTCCGGACCGTTGCACGACTCGCTTCGGTCCCTGCCACGGAGCACTTGTGTGTGCAACCACGTGTCTGTCTATGCACAAGCCTCCTGTGGAGGTCTCGGGGCATTCTGGGAAAGTCCGGGTAGCTATCCCACAATGCCTCAGCAAAAGAGACAGCACCGCTCCTAGAGACGTGCACTCTGGGCTGACCTGCTGGGAGGAGGGAGAGCCAGCAGCTATCCCACAATGCCTCTTCAAAGGAGATGGTGCTCCCAGAGATGTGCACTCTGGGCTGACCTGCTGGGAGGAAGGGGACCCAGCAGCTATCCCACAATGCCTCAGCAAAGGAGATGGTGCTCCCAGAGACGTGCATTGTGGGCCGGCTTGCTGGGAGGAGGGAGAGCCGCAGATTCGTTCCCATTGGGACTGTTCAGGGGTGCCGTCAGGCATCGAACCAATCGCAGCCGGGCAGCAATGGCAGCGCTGCTCCGGTCGTTGCCCGGTGGGCCTTGCTGTACGCGGGCCCCCCTTCTAGAGCCATTCAACAGAAGTAAGAGGCGGCAAATTCAAAACCAAAGGAAGGAGATCCTTTTTTTATTATTATCTTATTTTTTTGCACCCCAGACCAGGCTGTCGCTGCAGCAGAGAGCTCGGCCACTTCACGCGGAGAAGCAGAAGCGCCGAGCCGCCGGAGTTGTGGCTCACACGTTTTGGAAGGGGTATTCATTGCCTCCCCAGCAACTCTTTAACTTTTCGAGATCGGGTGGAGATCTAGCGTGAGAACAGCCTATCTGACATCTGCGATCATGGGGTTATTGCAACTTTTCTCCAGTGCTTCTGAGGAAAGCTGGCGAGGGAAGGACCTAGGCATACGTCTGCCTGGGAGAATGGGAGAGGAAGAGGGGATATGACGGCAGTTCGAGAGGCCGCTGTAAAAGAGGAGGCAGGACAAAAGACAAGGGGCGCGTCTACACGAGATATTTTAAGGTGCATTAGCCTAAATTTAAGGTGCATTAGGGCACATGTCTACATGTGCATTCCCTGAATGCACCTTAAAAATGGCGATTTGGGGCTAATCGCACCTAATTTGATAAATACAGGTATCAAATATAGGCGCAGTTAGTTAAAGCGCATTAATGCACATGTAGACACACTAAAGCACATTAACACTGTGTGTGTGGACTGACTTGGGACTAACTTGAGTCCCAAGTCAGTCCACACATAGCATTCGTGCACTTTAATGCCTGCACGTGTAGACACCTGCTTAAAGCACATTAAGCTAATGCGCATTAAATTTAGGCATGCTTAAGTGCACGTGTAGACATGCCCAATGGGTTTCAAGAAGAGGAAAGCAGATCCAGATTGAATCTCAGGAAAGCTGTGCTACGGTCAGGGCCGAGAGCAGGACTTGCCTGTGGTGGAGGTGTTGAAGCGGGGAGGGGGCACGTCGGGCCGTTTAGGTACAGCTGATCCTGCGTCCGTGCAGGGGGCGGGATTGGAAAATCTTTCACATCTGCTGCAACCCTAAGATCCTGTGATTTTTTTTTTTGGTACCTGGCAATTATCTGCCGCTGCAGGAAACAAGACATTGGAGTCGGTGGGTCAGGGCTGACACTGTGTTACTAGACCACTGAGGAAAAATGGGAAGAACTGGCATTATTTAGGTTGGAGAAGAGAAAACCAAGCAGGATTTGCTAATAGCCTGCAAATACCGGGAGTGCTGTTATAAAGAAGAGGTTGGACTAGGGGACCCCGGTGGTCCCTTCCAGCCCGGCTCCCCTGACGTGTACAGGATGCTTCTGTTCATACATCCCAGTGTGCCATTAGCTTTTTCTTGTATTTTATTATTTTTTATTTCGACTTTTTAATTTTGATTTTTTATTTTATTCATTTATTTTTGCAACAGTGGTAGGACAGACACTGCAATCGCTGCTCCCATCTCCACCGGCGGTGCCGGGAGAGGTCTCGCTGGTGGGTCTGCGCGGGAGCGCCTGTCTGCCGCGGCACCTAAAATACGGGGCACGGCGAGCGCCGCTGATGGGCGCACAAACTGCTTAAAGTGCTGTTTTATACCCTACCACCTCTATTGACCATCGTAAAGCTGCCTCCCCGGCGCTTTCCAGTCTGTCCCTTCGTGCTTTTGCCTCCTGCTCTTGCTATCTGGAGTCCTGGACGCGTTTGCTGTGCCTGACGGGAGGCTATTAGGCAGGAGGCAGGTAGATTTGCACCTCGTAGGCTAACTAAATCAGAAACGCAGAAGCTTTGGGAAGCAGCGGCTTTGACCGGTGCCTTGGCCGGGATGATCTTAGCCACCTGGGGCTGCAGTTTTTGCTTCAATCCGATGTGTTTGCAGTGCGGTGTGTCAATATGTGCATATTCAAAGAGGCCTGTCAAAGGTGCTGCGTGTGTGTGTGTGTGTCTTGCTCACCCCTGTCTCCTGCTGGGAGGATCAAAGAGGAGCAAGGGGAGCTTGTCAGGAGACCATGCTTCTTGCCTCCTCCCATTTAGGGGCCTCGGTCCTTCCTTCCCTCTGCTCTGGTATGGAGACAGCTTTGCAAAACCATCCACCCTGGTGTGAAAGGAGAGCAGGGGAGGAGGGAGAGGAGAAAAGGGTAGGGGGACCGGGGAGCCCTTCCTCTAGGCAGCTGTGTGCAATGAGCCGAGAGCCCTGGGTCCCCTGACCACGGTCACGTCACTTGGCCTTCCTGTGCCTCGGTTTGCCCGGCAGTGACAGGTTGCGTGGCGCTTCGTGACTCCGACTGTAAGGTGGCTGCTGGGCTCGTGACGTGCACCGTGGAGCCGTGGGGTATCCGCCGCGCGGCCCGTCTCATTTCCACCCCCTCCCCCTGTCGCCCCCCAGGTGTCGGGAAGCCAAGGCTGCGAGAGCAAGCGCCACACCTCCCTGGGCGAATGCTGCCAGGTCTGCGGCCCCGGCTTCGGGGTGTCTGTCCCCTGCGGCGGTGCCGACACCCAGTGCGAGCCCTGCAGAGCGAGTGAGTACACGGGGGCCGGGCGGGTTACAGCCTCGGGCAGCCCAACTGAGGCTCCGTCCTGTCCGGGGTCTGGTCCCTGCCAGTCCCCAAAGAGGCTCGTGTGGGATCACTTGGTTTGCATGGGTTGTCACAAGTGACCCATTCAGTCCCATCACATCCCAAAGAAAACCCCGTGCCTGAGCGCTTGTTAACTCAGCGTCTCATACTGAGGAAGCACGGGGTAACTTTGCTGGGCCACCGTGCTCCAGTAATGGCTGATTGCACCTGGTCGGGTCTTACCCGAGTCGTTGCCCCAAGGGAATGCAGCAGCCTGGATGGGCTTACGCCAAGCAGAGCCATGGGTGCCAGGTAGCATCAGCGGGTATGCAGCCCTGTTGTCCCTGACCTCAGCACGCGTGTCTCTTCCCATGACAGACGTGACGTTTTCCTCGGTCAGCAGCGCCACGGAGCCGTGCCAGCCATGCTCCACATGCGCGGAGCAGGCAGCTGAGCTGTGTACCCCCACCAGCGACACGGTGTGCGCCAGCCCATGCGCCCGCGGGCACTACCTGCAGGCCGGCAACGGGACCGGCGGCCAGTGCCTCCCATGCCAAGTCTGCCCCGAGGGCTTCGGTGCTGTGAGGCCGTGCGGGCCAGCTCACGACGCCGTCTGCAGCACGTGCCCGGACGGTTTCTACTCGGAGGAGAAGAGCTCGGTGATGCCCTGCCTGCCCTGCCAGCCGCAGTGCAACGAGAGCAAGGTGATGATCCGCCCCTGCAGCCCGCTCTCGAACACGCTGTGCATGGGTAGGTACCACGGCGGGCAGGGGGACGGTGCGAGGGACGGGCTCTGCCGGGCATCGGGGAGCCCCAGCTCCTGTGGTGCTAGGTGCTGTACAACCCAGGAACACAGGTCTGGACGGGGATGTCCTTGCTCATCTGGTCTCCTGCCCCCCTTCCTTATGCGTCCTATTCCTCCGTCTGTCCCTGCCTGTCTAAATGTCTCTAAAGAAGCAAGTGCCCCGTGCTGGGACCGGGACCAGGGCTGAGCCCCAGGGAGGATTGGGCCCAGACCTTTCTGCCTCCCCGGCTTTGCGTTTGGAGCAATCGCTGTGTTTTTGTCTGCAAGGACAGAGGCTCCTCAGGTTGTCCTTAATCTCCCCTTTGTCCCGCCTGCCCGCGCGCTAATCCCGCTCGGGCCAGGGCCACGCGTGTGTTTGGGAAGCTCTCTGCAGAGGAGTGCATTAAAGGGATGCTGCGCCTTTGTCTCCGCCGCCGGCGTGCGGGTCAACCCCTCCTCTCTGCCGTGGGTCCCAGCCGCATCCTTGTGCCCCGTGGATTTTTCCCGGGGGAAGGAGGGCGCCTGCGAGGTCCCTTCGTTGCACAGCAGAGGAGCCAGCGAGGTGCTGGGAGCTGGATTCGAACCCAGAACAAGGCTGGGCCCCACACAGACGCCACGCAGGTGCTTTGCGCGGCCGGAGAGCTGTGCAGCTGTTAAAGTGGTCAGCTCTGGGAGCAAAGCAGCCTGCAACACCCACTGGGGATGCAGGGTACGCGCATCCACGCGGCTGGTGTTTCCGTGGGCCCGAGCCGGCTAGCTTGGCGCAGGCTCGGCCCAGCGATTCTCAACACTGGGTGCCTTGAGATCCTTTCAAGGGGGCCACACCGTGTTGGCACCGTTCGGGGCGCAAACCCGATTCACGAGATGCATCTGGAGATTTCGCGTAGGAATCCAACAGCTGGAGCTGCCGCGGGCTTGCTCAGCTCTTTGCAACAGCCAGACCGCTCGGTTATTTTTCTGCAATCACGAAGCGAGGGAACACGAAGAGCCGATGTTTTCCGAGGGGTGCCTTGAGTTTAACAAGGGATGCTTGCAACCTAGAAAGGTTGAGGACTCGGAGCTTAGAGCTACGCCCTCCACCCCACGTTGAGTTTTACCCAGGAGCCGGCCCCCGGCCCGCGGCTTCGTCCCCAGGGCTGTTGGATGAAAGTTGGACCCCAGGCAAATGCCTGCTCTTCTTGCCTTCCTCCGCCCGCGAGAGAGGAGCACGTGCAGGAGACTTGTTCTGTGTCCATTCAAAGCCCCAGGACGCCTGGCTGCAAAGTGGGAGCTGAATGCAAAGCTGGGGGTGAATTTTAACGTCCTCCATCCCAGAGGCAACAGAGCACCGGGCGCTGGGGTAGAGCCACTTCCCTCAGCTCAGGGCTCCCAGTCCTGAAATAAGCTGGGTGGTGTGGTGGGGGGGCATTTTAAATCGTGCCCAAGCACAGGAAGGGCGCTGGACACAGATCTTCTCCTGGCTGCCTCCTCGGGGGGAGCACGGGACGAAGGGCTGCAGGGACAGCCCTGCCCTGGCTCCCGCGCTGGCCCGTCGAGGGGGTGGGAACGTTCCGCGTCCCTCAGGTCGCTCCCAGGCCTGGGATGCTCCAGCGCTGTCACGTTACTCCGAATTTCAGCCCAAGGCACGAGGGGGAAGGGGACAAGGTCGCAACCTCCGACTTCTGGAGTGGAAGTCTGAAACGACCTGCAAGGGACAGTTGACACCGGGCTCGGGTCTCGTTTTGTTTTGTTTCTATGATGGATGCGGGTGGCCCGAAATGTCGCTTCCTGCTTGGGGTTTTTTTGGCAGGGCGGGGGTGGCTCCCTGCTATTATTTTAAAATACGGGTTTTGCAGGATGAGCTCTGTTAGGCCTCCACGTATTACCCTGGCAAAGGCACGAGGACGCCAAATAAACAGAGAGGCCCTTTCTCCCGAGGTCGGTGGAGATAAATAGAGGTTCACCGAAGCCTTCAGGTTTTCACGCGCCGAGTAGAGATCTCATCACCTTCCCCGCAGCTCCGGATTCAGTCCTGCGTGATGCCGGTTTGGTCCCTGCCTTTCCTGAAGCATGAAACAAATAGGTGGAAGGAACCTCCTTGTTCTTATACCACGTCCTAAAGAAACCCCCAAAAGCGTGCCTGGCTTCCGGGCCAAGGGGGAAAGGGCTGGTTAGTCCCTTGGGGTAGCGAGCATGGGTAACCCTCCGTGTCCTATTCCAAAAGGCACGTCTTTGGGACCCGAGATGGCTGGGGGAGGGTGGTTGGACGTGGGCTGTGTCCACCCCAACTCGGTCCCGGCGGACGGTTGCTCACGGCGTGGCATTGCGAGGCAAGCGGGGTTTCTTTCCCTTCCCAGCGCTCGGGTCCCGCAAGGCGAGAGAGCTGCAAAAGCGTCCACCGGATCGGGGAAGGCAGGGGCCAGGGATGCAGGTCGGGGAGGGACCTTTCTCCCTCGCGGGGGAGAGCGGGCTGGGGGATCCTGCCGGGGTGGGCGATGCTGGTCCAGACTGGCCTCCCCAGTAGGGCCGGGCCTGCCTTCTGGGAGTCAGCAGGTGTTGCTAAATGCTTCCCGGCAGCGGGGTTGCTGCCGTGGGCGGCAGTGCGGCATGACAGAGCCTTTGATGTGGAGCCGAAGCCGTCTCTGCGAGCCGCCCCCCTTCCTGGCTCCTGGGCCCTTCCCCGCCGTACTGGGGGATTTCACGCAGCCTCCACGCCAAGCCAATACCGACGGTCTGCGTTATCCCCGATCTGGGATCGCGCCAGGCGCTGTACATGCACGGCAAGGTCACCACCTCGCTGCCGTGGCCTTGCCGACATAAACCTCATGGGCACGTCGAAAGGGCCACGCATAACTGCACCTGCATTCACACCACCGTGTTTGCCCAGGCTCCTTTCATCTCTGCCTGGGCTGGTTGACACGGGCACCCTCCGGGGTGGGGGTCTGTCCTCCCTGGGGGGAGGCACGCTGAGAGCCTTGGCGGGGGTCGGGCCAGGCTCCCAAGAGGACGCAGCGATGACAAACTCCAACTCGGGGCATGTTTCCTCTCAATTTAAGGCACCGATTCCCAGCTTTTGATACCTGGGGTGCGCTGGCACGCTTTCAGATCCTGCATTCAAATTGACAGCACTCTTCACTCTTACACCTGCAAATGTAGGTCTGTCTGCATCCAAAATACAGCATCACACGCAGCCTTTTGGCCCCTGGGGTGGATGAGATGGTCTGTGGGCCGGGGCCGGTCTGTGGACCCAATCCTGCACATGCTACCCAGCCAGAGCTCGATCTCTCCACGTGGGGCCAGCGCAGCCAGGGCCTGATCCCTTCGCATGGAGCCAGGGCACTTTTTGCACCTTCCCATGGAGCCAGGGCACTTTTTGCAGGACACTTTTTGCACCTTCCCATGGAGCCAGGGCACTTTTTGCACTTTCCCATGGAGCCAGGGCACTTTTTGCAGGACACTTTTTGCACCTTCCCATGGAGCTAGGGCACTTTTTGAAGGGCACTTTTTGCACCTTCCCATGGAGCCAGGGCACTTTTTGCAGGACACTTTTTGCACCTTCCCATGGAGCTAGGGCACTTTTTGAAGGGCACTTTTTGCACCTTCCCATGGAGCCAGGGCACTTTTTGCAGGACACTTTTTGCACCTTCCCATGGAGCCAGGGCACTTCTTGCACCCTCTCGTGGAGCTAGGGCACTTTTTGCAGGGCACTTTTTGCACCATCTCATGGAGCCAGGGCACTTTTTGAAGGGCACTTTTTGCACCTTCCCATGGAGCTAGGGCACTTTTTGCAGGACACTTTTTGCACCTTCCCATGGAGCCAGGGCACCTTTTGCACTTTCCCATGGAGCCAGGGCACTTTTTGCAGGACACTTTTTGCACTTTCCCATGGAGCCAGGGCACTTTTTGCACTTTCCCATGGAGCCAGGGCACTTTTTGCAGGACACTTCCACCACCCAAGCATGCCGTGGCACAAACGTTGGGAATCGGGTTTAAGGGGATCTCTGCGCAGACTCCCCCGAGTATGCTGGAAGAGAAGCTGACCGGTAATCTCTGATTTCGGCCCAAAACGGAGCCCGGGCGATGCTTGGGGTTGGGGGCCGAGGAGCCCAGTGCTTGCAAGTCCAGCCAGGCCTGTTTTGTGTGTCCAGAGAAGCTGGGGCTGGGGCAAGAGATTGGCAGCAGCAAGAGGCGGGGGGAGGCTGGAGTTTGGAGAGAGCAGCAGCAAGATCCCCCTCCCGCCTGGCGGAGGGGAGCTGTCGCCTCTCCAGCTGTTCCTCCGCAGACAGCATCTCCCACCCGCCCCTCGCTTGTCATCACTTCCCTGCACACAGACCAGATGCTCCTTGCAGGCACTGGAGGAATCTCCAGCGCAGCCCGGCTGCCAGCCTTTGATGTGGCCAGGCAAAAGCAGGCTGGAGGCGGAAGGGCTGGGGGTGGGGAGGAGGAGAGCAGGCTCCTCTCTTTTTTTTTTTTTTCTTCTTTCCAGCCTTAGGCTTGCTTTTCTTTTTTTTCCATGGAGAGGAGGGCCTCCGGGAGGGAATATGTCCCAGCTGCGGTCTCTGCCCTTCCCAGCTGCCTGGCCTCTTGGGGCATCGGGTAGCAGATGGGCCCCCTCCTCGCTCATGCAAGGATCGGGCCTTTCCCCGCTCTCCTAGCTGCCGTGTCCCCTGGCGGGCCACTGGCGCGGCCCGTTGGGCCAGCTGCCGGGTGCTGGGATCCGGGGGAGGAAGGGACGGTTTTAACCGGAGGGTTTGGAGACGCGGGTTCACTTTCCAGCTGTGCCGCGGACACCTGTGTGACTGGGCGAGTCCCCAGACCCCCCATCTTTTGTCGGCCCACCTCCGTCACCTTCCCGTGAGCTATCTGAGCCCTGTCCCGTAGGCATCCCAGGCTTTCCACCCGCGCCAGCTTATGCATCTCTGATTGAGTTGGTCTATAAGGTGCAAATCTAGTGTGCTTTCAGCCGGCGTTCGTGAGACCCCCCCAAGCCCCTTGCCTTCGTGTCCTTTGCAATCAAGACTGCTCTTTCCTTCCTGTCCTCAAAGGCCCCGTTGTGCGCGCGCGGGCGCTGCCACGTCCCTCTCCAGCAGCAGCTGCATTTCGCGGAAGGCCCTGGGTGTCCCTTCCCGTTAGTGA